CCGCAACCCGGGCCTGTGCTCTGACCGGAAATCGCACCGTGACCTCCTGGTTCATAGGTCGACGCTCAACCACCAAATCTCGCCAGCTGGGCCATCAGCATGTCCTAGATGAGAAAGCTGATTCTAATCTCCCCACTTCCTTTTTTCTTTCCCTTCATTTCCTGGTTTCACCCCCTTCTCAGGCAAGCGTGGGGGCGACCGGGGTTCTGTAGGACTGTGGTGGCCGCAGGCCTGACACCTGCCCCAGAAGAGCTCTGGTGGGTGAAGGTGAGGGTGCCGCTGGCTTAGGAAGAGGCGGGGGGGACGGAGGATATGAGCGATTCTGAAAACCAGGGGAGGAGAGAGGGTCACGTGCATGTGGCGTGACCCCGGGCTGAGCCGGGTGTGCAGGAGGCCGCTGCCTCGATGGTGCAGGCCCATGACGCCCGGCGGAGGCGGGCAGCACTTCCTCTCCCTGCAGCTGCTCAGTGCGGTCAGGCGGGGTTTCTGGGTCAGAGGCTCCTGGGAGGAACCGGCCCCCACCGTCCTCACTGGCACAAGCTGGTGGGGGGGGGGGGTGTCCCAGCTTCTCGTGGGCACAGCCGCCCGGACCTCAGCCAGGACCTGCCGAGGGGCCTCAGGACTCGGACCTCGGGCCTGGGAAGTAAACTTGACCGAGGAGGGGCTCATGCAGAGTCCACACCAGCCCGGTTCTGCCAGCGCCTAGCGACACCCTCTCCCTGACTCTTCGGAAGAGCCAGGAGCCGGGGGTGGGGGAGGGTCGGACCCGCATCAGAACTCTCTCGGGCCCGGAGCGCGCCCCTCCCCTCCCCTCCCCTCGGACAGCTGCCAGTCCATTCTCTGTGTCCGAGTGTTTCTATGTTGATTGTTAGTTTATTTGTCCATTAGATTCCACACATGCGTGAGATCCTATGGCATTTGTCCTCCTCTGACTGGCTCAGTGCACTCAGCACGTGCCCTCCAGGCCCCTCCTGTGCTGTCGCAGATAAGATTTCCTTCTTTGTGCAGGCGAGCGTGCGCCATTGTGTCCACGCAACGCAGCCTTTACCCACTCGTCTGCCGCTGGGCCGGGGCTGCTCCCAGGTCTTGGCTGTTGTAAGTGACGCTGCAGTGAGCAGGGGGGTAGATCTGTTAGGACTCCCCGTCTCGCTGGTCGGCTTTCCGTCGTGCGTGTCCTGGGGGACCCAGGGTGAGGCCCTTGCTCACTGAGCGGGGTGCTCCCTGAGGCCCGTGCGGGAAATGAGGGCCCTCCTGGTGGGGGCGTCTCCATGGCTATCGGCCTGTTCGTGCCCGGGGTCGCCTCTCAGGCCGGCTGAGTGCAAGGCCCAGCCCTGAGCACAGGGTCCGAGCTGCCGAGCAGGGCTGACCACGGAGTGGGATTCGCCCCGGGAGGTCCCGTGCCTGTGAGCTCTCCCTCTGGATACGCCGCTGGGGGTGGGGGGTGGGGCGCCTCACTAATCCTGCTCCGACATGGCCCCCCGAAGGGGCCTCCGGTACAGGCCCAGGTCCGACGCCGCCAGGACTGGCTGGGCGGCCTGTCAGGAGCTGCACAGCGTCCCCAGTGGGTGGCGTCGCGCCCGGCCCTGGTGTGTGTGCGGGAGGACGCACTGTGCACGAAGGCTGGGTTTACCAGCCCTGCGCCCAGGCCGCCCGCGAAGGTCTCCAGCCCCCTGGTGGGTGGCTCCATGGGTGGATGGGTGGCAGCGGCATCCCTGCACCAAAGGGTCCCGGCTGTGGTTCCTGGTCAGGGCACACACCTAGGCTGCGGGTTCAGTCCCCGTGGCGGAGCGTACAGGAGGCAATCGATGTTTCTCTCTCTCCCTTCCTCTCTCTCTAAAACCAATAAACGCGTATCCTCAGGTGAGGATTTAAAAGGCGCCGAGCACTCGAGATGCCCCTCCGCCTGCCTCTAGCTGCGGGCCGGGCGGCAGGAGGGCCTGGGGTGCTGCAGTCCCGGGAGGTGGGCCTCCATGAGTCACCAGGCGGGTGAGGTTAGCACTGGGAGCCGGGGCTGCGGCTGAGGCCTCTCGGCAAATGCCAGGCACACCGTCCAGCTGCCACACTGCTGCCTGCAGACCTGTGTGTGCATGCATGCACGTGTGTGCATGTATGCATGTGTGTGCATGTGTGCGCGTGTGTGCGTGTATGCATGTGTGTGCGTGTGGGGTGAGGCCAGCAGTGTTTATCAGGCCCGAACAAACCGAGGTCTGGCTGTTGGAGGGCAGGCTCTGCACCCCCTGGGAGAGAGGGAAATGGCCCCATCCTGCCCACACAGCTCTGTCTGTCCCAGATTCTGCCAGGAGCCCCACCCCAGCAGGCCAGACCTCCAGGGTCGGGAAGGTGGGGCTAGCAGACCTCCCGTGAAGGGGAGGCGCCAGTCAGGCTCACGGGAAGGTGGGGGAGGCCCCTGAGCCAGGGCTCCTCACTAGCATCTCCCCCGGTGCTCTGGGCTGGGAAGCTGGCTTGGGGTTTGGGCCCCAGGCTTTGCAGCGGGAACCCCACAGCTATGTCCCTGGGAACCTCAGCTGCCCGCCCCCCGCCCCCCGTAGCAGGGCCAGCCCTTCCTGTCAGCCTCGGTGGCTGCTGTGACCCTCAGGGGTAAGACTCCTCCTGGGGGGGGGGGGGGTCAGGTGGTTGGCGGGACGATCTGGCTGCTCCCAGCTGGGCCCCAGGAAGGTGAGCGTAGCTGCCGCCGCCGGTTTTGCTGCATCTTGTATCCCCTCCAAACGGAAATGCTCTTAATGACGTGATCCACAATCGCACGCCTTGGTGTTTACCCAAATGGCTGGGAAACCCGTCCACGCTCACGCCTGTGCGAGAATGTCCTCGCAGCCTTCCTCCTCGCTGCCACGCGGGGCCGAGACGCCCTGCCGCGGGCGGTGGAGACAAGCCGTGCCGAGTCCGGACCGTGGGACACTGTTCAGCACCAGAAAAAATGAGCTGCCGAGCCAGGAGCAGACGTGGAGGGAACGTAAGGGAGCGTTGCTAAGCGAAAGACGCCCACTGAACAGGCTGCCCACTGCAGATCTCAACCGCGCGTCACGCGGAGAAAAGCTAAGCCACGGGTCAGTGGGGAGGGAGGGGTGGGCAGGAGGGACATAGAGGACGTTTAGGGCAATGAGCCCACTCGTGTGACACTCTGATGGCGGATACGCGGCCTCGTGCACTTGTCAAAACGCACAGAATGTACAACACAGAGTGAACCGTCCGTAAACGGGGGACTTCAGTGAATAACCGGCCACCGATACTGGCCCATCAGTTGTAACCAAGGACCTCAGAAGCCTGTTATTAGGGGAAACTGAGGCACTGTCTGTCTTTTCCGCTCAGCTTCTCGGTCCGTCTACAGCTGCTTTAAAAATAAAATCTATTCAGCCCGGCCAGCGTGGCTCAGGGGTTGAGCGTCAACCTAGGAACCAGGAGGCCATGGTTGATTCCCAGTCAAGGGCACATGCCCGGGTTGCAGGCTCGATCCCCAGTGTGGGGCGTGCAGGAGGCAGCCGATCCATGATTCTCTCTCATCATTGATGTTTCCATCGCTCTCTCCCTCTCCCTTCCTCTCTGAAATCAATAAAATGTATTTTTAAAAATAAATAAGTAAAATCAATTCATTTTAAAACATAAAAATGTCCACTCTTGTCCCCCATAGCACCCCCGGCTCCCACTTGTTTATGCGTTTGTTTGTTCCCTTGCCCGAGAAGATATATCCACATATGTGTCACTAAGCAATGGCTAAGAGGTGGCTGCCTAGGAGTTGCTTTTCCCCAGGAGTTTTATGGTTTCAGGCCTTACATGTAAGTCTTTAACCCATTTTGAGTTTATTCTTGTATGTGGTGTGAGAAAGTGGCCCAGTTTCGTTTTTTTTCTATGTGTCTCTCCAGTTTTCCCAACACCATTTACTGAAGAGTCTCTCCGGACCCCACTGTATGTCCCTGCCTCTTTTGTTCATTAAACATAAAGGCGGAGGTTTATTTCTGGGCTCTCTATTCTGCCCCATTTATATGTGTGTCTGTTTTTATGCAGGTCCCATGCTATTTTGATTACTATGGCCTTTAGTATGGAGCCTGCAACCCAGCAAGTGCGGGACCGGGAATGGAACCCTGACCTCCTGGCTCCCAGGCCGGGGCTCACCGGGAATCGAACCCTGACCTCCTGGCTCCCAGGCCGGGGCTCCACCGGGAGGGAATCCAACCCTGACCTCCTGGCTTCCAGGCCGAGGCTCCACCGGGAATCGAACCCTGACCTCCTGGTTCCCAGGCCGAGGCTCCACCCCTGAGCCAGGCGGACTGTCAGGTGTTTGGAGGGAGGCATGGAGTCCGCGGAGGCCGCCGAGGGCAGGCATTTGAATGATGTTGCTTCCTGTTATCCGTTCACTGCGCGCATTTTTACTGAATGAATACAATGCGCCAGGCATCGTCTAAGGGCCGGGCATGTCCCGAGGGCCCTGCGGACACAAACAGCCAAACCCCATCCCTTCCCCGCGGAGGGTGGGTGAAGGGCGCGGGCGCGGGGCCGGGCGAGGCGGGGCTGTCAGTAAAAAGGCCGTGGATTCCCTGCTCCGTGTCCCCGCCCCGGCCCGGCCGCCCCGCCCACGACCCCGCAGGAGGCGGGCACTCCGCGCGCGCACCCGCCGGGACTTCCCCGCGCGCGGGGTCCGGGGAAGAGGCGCGGTGGGTCTCGCCGGGCGCGTCCGGAGCAGA